ACATAATAAAATAATTCTCACGACGTTTCGGCGCTGTCTTTCCGACAGACCTGTTCTTCACCTGAGGACGGCTGCTTACGTTGTGGCCGAAATGTCGTGAGAATAATTTTCTTGTTTTATTTTTATTATTTTATTATTTCCCTTCTACGTGACTTTACCGAAAGAACCAAGAAGATGAATCCCTGCAGTCACGAAAGCTTTAAATCGAAATGTTATGTTATTGTTTTACTTATTGTGTTTTTTTATTTCTATCTTTAAATTCGTATTTTGTATTCGTATATTTAACATTAGTATATTTTTTTACATGTAAATTTTATTCGTATTTTTTTATCTGTTTTTAATTCGTATTTTTTTCATTACAATTTTTTTTTATTTTTTTGTATAATTGTTTCAATTTGTGTTTTTTAGATTTTTCTTTTTATAGTAAACATTTTAATTTGTATATTTGTAATGGTATTTTTAGTAAACAATTTCTTAAATCTTTTTTCCATTTGACTTTTTTAACTTATATCGTTTTTAATTATATACTTTATTTCAATTGATTATGTTTTAGTTTCCATTTTATTTGTGTTTTGTAATTAGTATTTTAATTATTTAATTATAAATTAGTACATTTTGTTCAATTGTATTTTTTTATTAGTTTTTTATTCAAAAGGATTATTTAGTATTTTTCTAATTTGTATTTTTTTATTTGTAGTTAATTTCATTTGTATTTTTAAAATTAGTTTTAGTTCGCCTATATGGACGGTCCGCCCCTGGATCCGCGTAACCACGACTTCTGTAGCCGATACGGCACACACGAGGTTCGTGTGCTCAGCGCTGCATCGGTTTGTTGCCACCCTGCGGCGAATGACGGGACCTACCGACTCACTCTGCGGTAAATACGCCTCACAATCCACTCTGCATTGCAGTGCCTCGCCCGTTTTGTCGCTGTATGAATTAGGGGCCGTCCATAAATGACGTCACTCGATTTTTGACGATTTTTGACCCCCCGCCCCTTCGTCACACGGACTCACAAAAGTCAGACCCCCCCCCTCAAATATGACGTCACAAAGCTCTGCCCCCCCCCCTCCAATTTTTTTTTAAAACATGCTTCAAATCGCTTTAAACTATTGTCATTGTAGTGCAAATTTAATGTGGCGCTGCACTCTGATGTTGTAGGAGAAAACATTTATTACAAAGTCTATTTAATTAAGTAGAACGTGTTGTGTATATTTATTTAAAGTTGCGCATTTTGATGTGACGTCACATTTCTCAACCCCCCCCCCCCTCATCACACATCGTCACAAATGTCTGGCCTCTCTCCCCCTAGGTGCGTGACGTCATTTATGGATGGCCCCTTAGGTCATCAGTGATACGACACTAAAACCCACTTGGCCACATTCTAGGTAACCGCTTACAGGAAGTTCTGAAGTGTTCTCTGTATATGGCCAGGCGAACGTGATTCGTTCGTTGGAAGTGAAATTTGTTCCAATCAGTTTAACACGTAGGCTTTCGCGACCAATGTTATTCATAATCAACGTTTTTGGGTTTAGATCGCGTTTATTTATAAATGTGTCGTAACCCTCCACCACCCGACACGGCCAATCAGTAAAAAAGTGTCACGTTGACAAAGACAAATAGTTCACTGCTTTAGCCCACCGGTGTACTCAAATTGTAAATGTTGTGGCTTCAACACACCGGTGGGCTAAAGCAGTGAACTATTTGTCTTTGTCAACGTGACACTTTTCTACTAATTGGCCGTGTCGGGTGGTGGAGGGTTACGACACATTTATAAATAAACGCGATCTAAACCCAAAAACGTTGATTATTGTTCCAATCAGGCGCTTTGTGAAAATCCGCAAACGATCACCGCCAACGATATTCGACAAAGATTGGTGACAGAGACAGACAGACTCAGACACTCGTTCATACTCATCCACACATAGCCCCCAATCTCACACACACAGACATCCATATTCAAAAATCACACTTCTTACACAGACGCTCTCAGCCCCACACACACACTCACCCACTCACTCACCCACTCACCCGCTCTCAAATACACACACTCACTCATCCACATTCAAATACACACACTCAATCACTCACTCATCCACTCTTACACACACTCACTCACCCACTGTCAAAAACACACACACACTCACTCATCCACTCTAAAATACACACACTCACTCACCCACTGTCAAATATACACATCCACTCACTTATCCACCCTCACATACACACACTCACCCACTCATCCACCCTCACATGCACTCACCCACTCAATCTCTCACACATACACACCCACACTGAATCTTACACACGCTCAAACACACACATACCGATCAACGCTCGTCCAGACTGAATCTCACACACATTCATACTCACCCACACTCAATCACACACACACACAACAGCCTCACCAACCCAATCACCCACTCGCCATCTCACACACTCAAATGCACCCCACACATATCGATCCACTCGCTCGTCCACACTAAAACCTCTCTCACACACACTTCCACTCAATCGCAAGACCGACGGTCAACACGTTATCGAGAGACTGCGATGAGGAGTCTGTGACGCGGGGAGGAGAGCGTCATGACACCGGGGGGCAAAGATGCTGCTATTATTACAACTACTGGTGAATTTCGATTTAAAGCTTTCGTGACTGCAGGGATTCATCTTCTTGGTTCTTTCGGTAAAGTCATGTAGAACCAAGAAGATGAACTACTGGTGAGCACGACCGCTCCTCATTCATTCACCACCATCATCGTGGGCGTCGCGGTGGCTAGGAGATGTTAATTACCTCGCCTGGTATACAGGGATGCTCGTGGGTTCGCCTGCTGCTGTACATCTTCAGTCTGCGTCTTTCTGTCCCCTTCATGGTTGCGTGGGTTGTTCTTTCCGGGTTCCTTCGGGGTTCCCCTCCACATTTAGAAACACGCGATTAGAGTGTTTGGCTGCTGCTATACATTCCCGGGTCATAAGCCACTCCGTTGAGCTATCATTTGTACCTGTTAAAATAACAAGAATTTAGTCTTTGGGTCTCTCGGTCTCTCTGTGGATCTCTATGAGTATCCGTATCTCTATAGGTGTCTATGCATCTCTATGGGTCTATATGCGTATATATGGGTCTTTATATGTATTTCTATGCGTTTAGAGTATTTGGCTGCTATATAAATGCTCACGTGATGATGATATCAGCAACTTCGTTGAGCTACTATCATTTGTGATGGCCGGGTAAGATAAAAGTTCGTTGGAGTTGACACAGGCAGCCGTGGGTGAATTTGAGGTGGCTGTATTTTTGTTGTGTTGTTGATAAAAGTTAGTTGGAATTACTCGCACCATCTTTAGAAAAATCATCGGAATGTGACAAAATGGAAACATCATTTTTCGATTTAAAGCTTTCGTGACTGCAGGGATTTATCTTCTTGGTTCTTTCGGCAAAGTCACGTAGAATGGAAATAATAAAATAATAAAAATAAAACATAATAAAATAATATAATACGTGACGTGACTTTACCGAAAGAACCAAGAAGATGGAAACATCATGTTACCAATTCCAGTCGATGTGGTGTCGCCCCTGCATTGGGCATACCACAAGTTGTTATTTCTCCACGGCTTATGCGTTTGCTCTTCCCTTGATTACCATCTCCGCTTTCTCTCTGTGTATGCTGGCCCCAGGACACTTGTGCCTCGCCCGCTTCGCTCTGATACCAGCATGTCTGTCTACGCCCATTTGAAACCTTTAAAACAGCTTGCTTTCAGCGGTTCCCCCACACCCCCCCTTTTTAAATCCTTTATATTAAGTTCACTTGCTTGCTTGCTTGCGTGCTTGCTTGCTTGCTTACGACCGTGCAAATCTTTCGGTCGTTTTTTAACACACTTCCCGTGATCCAATCGAGCTGACATTTTGCACACAGACTCGTTGTGCGTGACAATTAATTTTTGTGAAATTTTTTTTCCAAAATTTTACACTGTTTAGGGATTTTTTTGAAAATATTTAATTACCAATTGCTTAATGCTGGCAGACAATCATCTGACCCATAGGTGACAGCCATCTCAAGCCAGAGGACGAGAGGACTCTAGCCGCCACGCATATAAAGGATTTAGAGTGAAAAACTTTGTTTTTACGGGTTAATTTTTTTCACCTGATAACGGTCGCTTCTGTTGCGATCGAAAAGTCGTAGTTTTTTGTTCATTTCATTTTTTGAACCTATCGACGTGACTTCACCGAAAGACCCACGAATATGAATTCCTGCAGTCACGAAAGCTTCAAGTCAAGATTTATTGATAAAAGTTGGTTGGTGTTGATACAGGTGGCCGTGGCTGTCATTGGGCATTGAATTGAGTGAGAAGATGGGCTACCGTCTGTGATCGGAATAAATGTTCACGTGATATTCCCGACGAGCAAGACAGACGCATTAGGAGCCGTCCATAAATGACGTCACGTGATTTTGGACGATTTTTGACCCGCCTCCCCCCTCCGTCACACGGCGTCACAAAAAGTCAGACCCCCCCCTAAAATATGACGTCACAAAGCTTTGCCTCCCCCCCTCAAAAAAAATCTATAAAACATGCTTCAAATCGCTTTAAACTATTGTCATTGTAGTGCGTATTTAATGTGGCGCTGCACTCTGATGTTGTAGGAGAAAACATTTATTAAAAAGTATATTTAATTAAGTAGAACGTGCTGTCTATATTTAATTAAAGTTGCTCCTTTTGACGTGACGTCACATTTCTCAACACCCCCCCCCCCCTCGTCACAAATCGTCACAAATGTCTGACCCCCCCCCCCCTAGGTGCGTGACGTCATTTATGAATGGCCCCTTACTACACAGACATACATACAAACACACTGGCGTGGCACACGTGCGTAGGCGGGTGACTGAATGTGGCACAGGAATGTAAAATGCGGACACCTCCTACCTCCCCCTACCTCCTGCAGGAAGCCAAACGGTATCTCACATCACAAAACACGTCCCCGATCATAGCAGAGCGTTTGTGCTGAACAGGCGCTTGTGTAGAACACTGCAGGAGCTGGCGCTGTGAAGAAACAACCACAACAACAACCACAACCACCACAACAACAACCACAACAACCACCACAACAACAACCACAACAACAACCACAACAACCACCACAACAACAACCACAACAACAACAACCACCACAACAACAACCACAACCACCACAACAACAACAACAACCACAACAACAACAACAACCGCAACAACAAGCACAACAACAACCACAACAACCACAACCGCAACAACAACCACCACAACAACAACCACAACAACAACAACAACCACCGCAACAACAACCACAACAACCACAACAACCAGGCTTGGGCGAGTGAATTAAACGTCGCGAGTTCGGCTATTTGGGTTCCAAATGTGAACTGGGCCAGAGCTGGACTTGGTGGTAGTCCGAGGGAGTTCGTGGTGAGGAGAAGGGGCAGCGTCATGATCCCCCCATGGATGAGCATTCTGGTGCGGGGCGTAATACTCCTCGTGGTGAGTTACCTCTCGTGATCATATATTACCTCATTACCCCTGTTAACTCTCATTACCCCTATTACCTCATTACCCCTGTTAGCTCTCATTACCCCTATTACCTCTAATTTCCCCTATTATTTTCATTACCCCTATTACCTCTCATTTCCCCTATTACCTATCATTACCCCTATTACCTCTCATTACCCCTATTACCTCTCATTTCCCCTATTACCTCTAATTTCTCCTATTACCTCTCATTACCCCTATTACCCCTATTAGCTCTAATTACCGCTATTATCTCTCATTTTCCTTATTACCTCATTACCCCTGAAGTATGGGAATTGACGGCAGGAACTTCTTGACGGGAACACACTTTTATTAAATCTTTACGTGTCAGAATACAACGTGTGGTCTCCCTTCTTCCGACTTCACACTCCACTAATCTCGTGTAAACTCTAGGCCTCTGGCTACACACGATACACTTCACTCGTGTAGACCCTATGCCTCTGGCTACACAATACACTCTACTCGTGTAGACCCTATGTCCCTGGCTACACACAATGCATTCGGCTCGTGTAGACCTTATGCCTATGGCTACACACACTACACTCTACTCGTGTAGACCCTATGTCCCTGGCTACACACAATGCATTCGGCTCGTGTAGACCTTATGCCTATGGCTACACACACTACACTCGCCTCTGGGTTACACAGAGTCCCGGTCCCGTTAGGACAGCGGGACTAGGTACCGCAGGGCCCTAGGTCTTCATCCCCGTCTTCATTCTTCGCTGGTTACACACTGCCCTCACGCCTGTGTGCATCCCCTTTTATAGCCCCTGCTCACGAGAGACGGAGCTGATGCGTGCGTCGACGTGAGCATCGCTCCTTAGTGAACCAATCACGACGCACTCTCTCTACGATCCGTTTTCCCCAGCGCGTGTTAACGCTCCTCCGCCAATCACACCGCGCTGCCACCCGGTCACTCCCTCTCAGCGCGTCACCGGCCCACAGCCAATCATTACCCCGTAACCCACGACCCCGCGCTGACCCCTGATCCTCCACCGTCAGCGCGCGTCACCACATACACAGCCAATCATTACTCGCTGGCATACGATCCCTCATCCTAGCGCGTATCACCTCTACATCACCCCCTCCCACATAGCTTGCAGCCGGCCCGGCTGTTAACCAACAACACAACCTAACGTCAACGCAGTAATAAAGAAACCCCACCCCCCCAGTGTGCCCCGTAACGCAACAACAACAACACAACAACAACACTTAAATAAGAAGCAATATACAGCCCGACGAACAATACAGTAAAAGCGAACACCGTAAAACGAACACGCCAAGTGTCACTCCGACTAAACGCAGTGCCGAGGCGCTCCGGCTGCCTCGACTCCTCACGTGGTAGGTCACACAAAGTAGCGCGACCTAACGCGAGTCCGTCTGGCCGGTCCGTCATATGGGACGGGACGCTGGCGACCGTCCGGTGGCTCCGGCAGCTCTAGACGGCGCGGATCTGGCCTGGAAGGACCGGCCCCGCCGCGAAGATCCGGCCGCCGGTGGTCGGCAGCTGTCAGTCCCGAGACACCTGGGAGCGGATCAGGCGGAGACATGTGAGGATCAAGCAAAGACCTTTCCCCCTTAGGGTCGTCGGTCACGTCACATGCTCGGCCCTCACGACACAAGGGGAGGCCATATGGAGGCGAGAACGGTTTCAGTCGGGAGGGGTGGACGTACCAACGGCGTTTTCCCCATTTTATCTGAACGCACTGGGGGCGTGCAACCCGCACGACCTCCACGGGTCCCCGCCACGGCTTCAACAATTTAGGTGACGTAGCCAAAGGTGCCTGAGGGCAATGCAGCCAGGCCCTGTCACCTGGTTCCCAATTGTGCACGGACACCTTCCGTGCCCGCAACCGCTCGTTTGCAATTTGGCGAGCCCGCGAATTAAGCCGTGCGGCCTCCCTTGCCTCTGTCAGCTTATGAATATTGAATTTAATATGCTCTGCCAATTTCGAATTAGTTCGTGGTGCGGGCAGACCCAGCTGCGTTTCCATGGGCGGGTCGGCTTCCCGACTGTACATCAGATAAAACGGGGAAAATCCCGTAGCTGCATGGGGGGCCATTCTATACGCGGCGAGGACCCCAGGGACCTGCAGGTCCCAATCAACATGTGCCTCACACACCTGCTGGCACAACATAGAAGTCAATGTCCTGTTAAGCCTCTCCACCATCCCGTCCGTCTGCGGGTGGTACGGGGAGGTACGCACCTTCTTGGTACCCAACAGGTCGCACACCTCTTGCAGTAATTTACTCGAAAAATTTTTCCCTTGGTCAGTCAGCAAGCGTTCGGGAGCCCCCTTGTCCAGGACGTAGCCCTGGACAAAGGCGTCCGTCACAGCCGCCGCCGACTGGTTGGCGAGTGGCCACGCCATAGGCCACCGGGTAAAATATTCGACCCCCACCAACAGGTACTTATTACCCCTAGGCGTGACCGGAAAAGGCCCCAGAATATCGAGTGCAACGAGCTCGTTAGTGCGCGAGACCTGGATGGATTGCAGCAGTGGATTAGCTGCCACGGGCGGTGGTTTCCGTCTGGCGCACTCAACACAACCCTTCAGAATATTCACCACGTCACCCCCCATTCCCGGCCAATAATAGTCACGCTGAAGCAGGGCAAGCGTTTTGTTAACTCCCAAATGCAAGAGGCGTTCGTGTGCGGCCAAGACAATTTTCCCCTTCACAGCAGAAGGCACCACAATCGCGTGCCGCCGGGACAAACTGTCCCATCTCATTAACAGGCCTTGCTTAAGTACGTAGGAGCCAGTTCGTTCATGGTCGCCTTCGGAACCCCCCGTCCTTCGGCGCAATGCTAGCAGAGAGCTGTCCGCCATTTGGAGACGGCCCCACTCAATCAGCGACAGTGAGAGCAGCGAGTCCTGACCCCCTGGGGTAGCGGGACCATCCCCAATTGGTGTGCCCGCGGTCGCAACCAATGCCCCCTCGCCTTCCGTAACTGGCGGTCTACAGCGCGCCGATCCCGATAAGCACGCACATTTGTGACAAGGCAACAATCGCGACAGAGCATCAGCATTTGTGTGTCGCGCGCACAGCGAATCGACCCATTCGAGGTCCTCCTTCGGATTAACGTTTTGCGTGGGGCTCGGATCAGCCTGCGCAACCAGCCGCTCTTCCGCAGGGACCCGTGCCGCGTGAGCTAGCACGGTGCCCTGCTGAATGACGGCCGGCCGCGACCCAGCGTTTAAACCCCTGACAACCGGATCCCTGTCAGCCCCAACCAAAGTGTGAGCCACCGACAAATCGAGACCTCCAACAGCCCTATTAGAAGGACCCAAAAGCGTGCCTTGATCCGAGGTCTCCCTCACCCATGGTTTCCGCAACCGGAGGGGAATTAACATTTGTGAACCCGGGGGCACGTGCACGGTCTGTGTTGCTAACGCTTGTATCGTAGCGCACGCCGTTCGAATTTCAGTAGGGTTCGTCAAAAATGAAATACGGCGACCCGATGGTAGTTCAATGCAACGCTGATCAATGAGAATTTTGATGGGCATTTTTGCCAAAAAATCTGTGCCCAATAGACAAGGAACCGCCAGGGAGGACGAAACGAAAACGGGTCCCGACAATTTGATATCCCCAATGCAAATAGACGCCCTAATCTGACCGATAATGCCCAACGATCCCCCATTAGCGGCGTAAAATGGCACATCCACTGGAAGCAGCGGACGACATTGTACAGGGAGAATGTTGTAAATGAGATCTGATATAATAGTCGCCGATGCCCCCGTGTCCACTAACACCCTGACCTCGACCCCATCAATAGATCCCGTAACGACGGATGAACCCGCTCTGGCAGCCACTATTCTGTGCCCCAACTCCGACCATTTAATGTCTCCCCGGACCCGGCCGAACCCCCCTCGCCGAACCAAATCCCCGAACTCTACTCGGCTCTCCCCCGCCGCAACGCGACGACCCATATGTGTCGAGTATGCGGGCCAAGCATGTGAGGTGCCGCGACTTGCCGGGGTTTGCAGGGACGACTTGGGGCCTTGGTCGTCGTCCAGCCGAGGTCCCATGGCGCGCTGACGTGGGGCGCGGCAACCGGAGGCCACGTGGCCCCGGAGGCCGCAGTTATAGCAGGTGATGACAGTCGTCGGAGATCTCGGTTGCTCCAGCTTGCGGGCCGCTCGCAGAGGCGAACGACCCCCCGATCTCCAGTCCCCCGGTCGTCCCGCGATGAACGCCTCCTCTCGTGGGCTGACGACTTGGGGCACGGTGACAACTGGGCCCGGAGTTGAGGCCACGGCAGCGTTGCAGACGACTCCCTGTTTACGTTGAAGGACCTCGTGCGCTTGTATGCTTGTGGCGACCCGTAAGGATGAAATATCGGTCTCATCGGCCGTGTTGATGGGGACCCCCAGGTCCTGCGCCAACTTGAGCAGCTGCTCCAAAACCATGGCATCTTGGCCCTCCTCGTCCATACGAGGGAACGCGGCGTCGGCGAGAGCAAGCAACGCCGTGCGGTAGGCGAGCACGGTCTCCGTGTCCGCCTTCCGTCTTGCATAAAAATGATGGCGGCACGCCGAGGGAGGACCATAGACCTTGGCCATGAGAGCCAGCACATCCTTGAGCGTGGAGCGGTCCGACCTGCGTGCGGACGTGAAGGCCGCGAGCGCGTTGTCGTCCAGCATGGCAGGCAGTGCCCGCAGTGCCGTAGCGTCGGACCAGGCGGACATCTCCTGATGCGCCAAAAATCTGCGCTGAAATTGGCTCCAATCCCCGCCTTCCGCCTTGAAGGCTGACAACGTGGGAAGGCGCTGCTGAAAGATGAAGTCGTCCTCCTCCACGTGCTTCCTCTCTGCCGCCCCGTCGGTGTGTAAGATGGCGGCCCCATCGGCGGGTGTGTGATGGCGGTCCGCCGCGCGCGTTGGTGACGTCAGCGGGCGCGCATGGAGAACCGCTGCCACGTGGTGATGGCCGTTCCCGCCAAAAGTCGG